TTATAGGGCCTCGTATTAAAAAAAAAAAAAAATTTTTACATTTTGCATCCATCCAAAATATATTGCTAATATTTATATATTTTTTTATATAATATATTTATTTCTACTATAAATATATTTCTAAAAGTTGTAGACACACACACACACACACACACATAGTCATTAGAATATAAATGAATTCAGCTATTAATGGGAAGCTGATATATTGCAGTGTGAAACCATTTAAAATTACTTTTAAGCTTTAACAGCATTTTGCTCATTCTTTTATAATTATTATGCATGATAATTTTATGACCCCCCTTTAGCGACTACACATTGAAAACTTTCAAAACAGCAGGGCAGTTTAAAATGAGAAGGCAAAGGTGATTAAAATGGTGAAAAACTAATTGTGAAGAGTGACAGCTCCTAAAATATACACTTTCCTATATATTTGATGTAAATACCCTAACCCTAACATAATATGCCCATGGTTTTTACAACCCAAGTCGGCCCAAACTCTAAGCAAGAGGGATTTTTTGCCATGGCGCTCATAAATGCACCACTAACAGTTTAAAGAGAGGTACTGACTCCAAAATTAAATTGTTCACAAAACAATAGTAAAATAATAATAGGTGACTGAAAACAGTCATTAAATACGCCTGCTATATCCTGTTATTTCTTATCATACTTGACTGATAAGCATGTGTAGGCTTCTGACAGCACGCCTACTACCATAATAAACAACGATGATTGTCCTGACTCCATGCTGACTCGCATTTCAGACACGATCGACATTTTCAGTTTTGTGCGTAAAAACGCGCACACACTAGCGACTATAAGCACATACATAACCCTCGATGATTTCCATATAATCTAATCTGATGCAACACTCAACAACTCAGTTTGCATTATTTACAACACGCAGTACCCCACATACACGAACCTTTAAATGAATCATTACCTTGTTATTATGAATCAACTTTAATCATATTCATAACCTTTTCATAAGCCTATAACGAACCAACATTGGTTTTCTTTTCAGTACTGATTCTCAGTAGTCGGACATCACATTTTATATCAAATTCTTTCTATGCAAGTAACCTAACTTCTTCATGTTATTCTTCATTCGTAACAGCTGATGTGGAAACATCTTCTTTAGGATTCACCCGAACAAAAGTTCACACGCAAATGCTCACCTCAAACAGTTGAGGTATCTCTCTCCTGGAGAGATATTCCTTCGCATCGTTGGTGTTCATATCTGTTTTTGGAAAACTATCGATCCTGTTGCGTTGAGTGTAGGATGTATTCTGCTGCAGCTTCACGAATCCGTGATGTTGTTGCGCTCTTAACGCATTCTCCAAGTGCCTACTAAACTAGGTGGATGAAGACAGCTACGCTCTCAGTAAACTGCTGTGCCTGTTACATGCTGCTTCCAAGCTCTCCTCTAGTCTTGGTCTTTTAGTATCTCTCTTCAGTGTTTGAAACCGCTAACACAGCGCGATACACCTGTACGCTGCCCGCGCGCTGATGGAGTGACTCAAGTGCGTGTGTTTGGCCAGCTGATGCGAGCTGATGAAACGAGAGCATACTGTCTGTGTGCACATCTTAATCTTTAAAAAAAGTTTTATTTTAGTAATAAGTAGTTTTGAATATATGTTTAAATAACTAGTCATTTATATTTTAATAATTCATATTTTACGGTATGCACTGTGTAATATATGATAATGAATCATTCATATTTTATATATAATGTAACAAATGCATTTTATAATAATCTTATTATTATCTAATATATAAATTATATTTATTCATATATTAATATAAGCATATAATAATACAAATATATTACATTAATTAAAAAACTTTATTAAAATATTTTAATTAGTTATACATATATAATTAATGTATAAATATACATGATGTATTATATCAAACTTAAATGTAGATAGTATATGTTAAAATGATCAAATGCATTATATTGTACAACATATGAATGATTAACAACAACAACAATAATAATGCTCTTATTTATATGATATAATTTCCTGATTTATGGTATTACTGCCACATGACAAGATAGCTTCATGCTTGTTGGTTACACCATCCTATGTATTGATTTGGCAGACAAAATGTTGTCAGATATTAATGTTTTAAAATAAACTTCTTCACTGCTTGTTATGAATTAATAACAATAAAAAGCTACTAATGCAATTGCAGCCTTTTAATGATACTTTTTGTATTAAAATCTTTAATTTCTTAAATCTAGAATCTTAAATCTCTCTACTTATCAAGTAATTTTCAAGTAAATCAAGTACATTTATGAATGAATAACTTAATAGAACTGAAAAAAAAAAGAGAATCATTGTCCTAAATACAATGACATTTAAAGCAACGGCATAACATGCTCACTGCAGATGACAAAAATGAATTTAATGAATATAATTGATGTGTTTAATATTTGTCATCATCATAATCATCAATGAGACTAATTAAAACCTACACTGGCCTATATTACTAGTGTGGAGTAACCTCTGACATAATTTTCACAGTAAGTGTCACAAAGGCATCAAATGTTCCATGCTGGATTTTGACATTTTTAGCCTTCCACAATCTCACTTAATCCTTTGTTGGTACCTGCTGATAATCAGGTCCTAGAAATATATTATTGTGTAAATCAGACAACGTCTGTAAGGTGGAAATGCTTTCGATTCTCAAACATCCATCATGTGAGGTGAGATGAGCTGCTGCTGTCTGAAGTGACTGACACAATAACTCTTAAATATAAACAAACAGCCAGTTTCAGATTAATCTGCATAAAACTGGTTGGAATACTCATGAAATTCATCTGATTAATTTGTGGGTAGGGGAAAATAGTATAAATACAGAACCATTTTGAAAATGAAAAATAAGTATGATAAACATTATTCAATGCTTCATTTTTGCTTAAAGGGGGAGTTCACCCAAAAATTCAACATAAGAAAGCAACTCATACAGGTTTGGAACGACATGAGGGTGAGTAAATGATGACAGAATTTTCATTTTTGGGTGAACTATCCCTTTAAGGGTTGTTCCCTATTAAAAGTTGATAATAATTCTGCTTTATACAGTAAATGGGACCACAGTTGTTGCTTAAATTTATGGGATATGAGAAAAAGTTATTGATAAAAATGCAATGCATCATCATATACTCATGTCCTCCGTTTTCTTTGCTACATCTAAATATCTGAGCAGAGATATGACTTTTATTTCGGAAAATGGGACTTTTAATCAAACCGGAAGTATAACGCTTCCTGTTTGCTGTTGCAAATCTAGCCTGTCACTGAACCGATGACAAAACAAAATGGATTATTACAATTTAATGAGACTATTTGCATTTATTCATTTGCTTGTTTCCATACCACATGGATACAGTAATTATGTTGAGGTAAGTGTCTTTATCCATAGCTGTTGTAAAACGTTTCTTTGATTCATTGAATTGACAGTGAAGCTTTCAGTAGTAGCTAATATCTTCAGCTCAGCATAAAGGTTTCTTTTTAAAATGTTTCTTTTATTATTTCATGGCTGTGTTAATTACGATTTGTTATATAGAAGCACGCACATACATGCATATACATACGCTAACGACTGTGATGCCCAAAAATACAGTAACTGCCTAGGGAGCTAACTAGGTTTTGAAACAGCCTGTGTTACATTATGGTGGCCAGTTTGTTCTAAACATCACATGTGATCACATCAAATGTATTTCTTTAGGCATTTGGCTTTGTTTAATCAGTAGGCCTACTCATTATCTCGTCTTACAGTTTTCTGTTCAGATGACGAAAAAGCACAACATTGTCATCTTACTGGCACATTTGTGAAGCTTTTGTAATAAAAGAGAGCAAGCATAAAATATCGTGTATGTTGTTCAGAAGTAATTGTCAAACATACATTGCCAGGGCTGCCAACTTTTGATGGTACCGTGTTTCTATCATAAAGCTATGTAAAATAACTGTTGCAGTGCTGCAAAACTATTAACTTTTTTTTTACAACAAGAATAGCAATGTACAGTGAGAGATTTGCAAGATTTACTAGTCATTACTTTTATAAACGATTGCAACCACTAGTAATCAAATTTATACTGACACACATTAGTACATATAGCTGTATCTTCATTGGTCCATTGGCCTGCACTGGACTTTTTTCACAAAAAAAAAAGAGAGGAAGAAAACATACTTGTGGTTTTTGACATTGCATAAGCTTCTTTTAGCTTCTTTTAGATTTCTTAGCACACTTGGCCTCATTGCTTCAAAAACGACTGTATGGCAGCTAATAGGCTAAACAAAAGGCTCCAATAAGCATGAAAGTCTTGCTACAAAGTCTTGCAAGCATGAAAGTCTTGCTATGAACTTGCCAGTTCAGTCGTAACACTCTCGTATGAAAAGGCTTACAGTATTGGCTCTAATTGTGTTTGTTAAAGTGCCCCTATTATGCCATTGTTAAGAAACGTTATAGTTGGATGTTGCATCTAACATTTTTGAAATGTTACTACTTGGGAAATGTAAGTTCCCATAATGTTTGCAAAATTATAAAAATGGAATGTTTCATTTAAGGTTCTTTCAAGAATCACGTTCTTCCATTAATAGAAAGCTTGTTCAGAGTTATTATATCTGATCTTTCATAAAGTTCTCATAATGGCTGCACAAAAACATTACATTGAAGACCAGAAGGGCTTTTTTAAATTCAGGTGTAGAGTAGGCTTATCCCACTAAATCGAAGCAAGCTGGTTATAGTCAGCCTTCTCTAGTTATTTATTTTATTATTTAATACTTATTTGAGTTAAGTGCTTATTGTAAATATGCATTTATTAGATTATTTTATTTAATGCATTTGTATTTTGTTGTTTTTGTATATAGTTATACAATAAAATCGTATCAACCAGGCCCAGTTGCAGAAATAAATCACTGAGGGTGCTTCTGAAATTAGCGAGGGTGCTCTAAATATTGTAGAAACTTAATTTGCTGTAAAGTTGCTTTGCAATGATTTGTATCGTGAAAAGCGCTGTACAAATAAACTTGACTTGACTTGACTCTAGTCTTAATGCACATTTTCAAGTATTTTGTCCAATCCATTGCTATACAGTACTGTCAGTCACTGCTATGTCGAGAGTGAATTCCGCATAAATATGCGGATGTCATTCCCGAAACTTTGCAACATGTGTGTGGCCAAAAACAAAAGTTCTGCATTTTGAATGGATTATAGCCTAGAAAGCTTGCAATGAGCGCTCACTTTATAATCGGTAAAAAGCTGTCACTCTTTGTTCATTGCGATCTCACAAAGTTCTGTTATGACCAATGAATCTCTCTACACTGCACAATCAGTCTATTATTTACATTGTGTATACACTCTGTATGTTGTAACGAGAGGATTTGATTGTAGGCCTATAACTCAGCACGGAACAAAACTGATGCGTGTTGTATCCTTTAAGTATGAGACAAAACCAGCATGTACTGTCATGAGGATGATGAAAGTGTTTTCATTTGAGTAAAGCTTATAAGTCCTTTTAAGTGTTTTTCTTCATTGAATATATGCAATTTCTCATGTGGTAACATCTAATTTATTTGATTTTATTCAACCCTAAAAATATTAACCTAATCAACCTACATTAGGTTACAGTGATAAAATCAAATTTAAGGGTTAGATCAGGTAGAAATAGCTCCCTAAGATAACATTTGCAGGTTTGCGCTTCTTAATAATGTACCATAGATTCTACACGTTTTTTTTTTCTCATCATGCTCATTTTGCGGCCACCCTCTTTTGAGGCAGTGCCACAGCCTGACCCCTCCATTTAAAATTCTCTAGACATGCCCCTGGGTGAACGAGCCAGTGTAATGCAAATATGTCTGAAAGGTCTGACATAACAATAAAGATGCCAAATGAACAATATTGTATGAAGCATTGTTTGTTTACATCACGTTGCGCCTCTTGTTATGAAAACAATGTTTGGGATACCATGATCAAAACTTTGTGATGTAAACAGTTTGATGTTGAATATGCATCCAGATTATGATGAAAACCAAAATATTTGTGTTAAAATAAAATTTTTGTGTTCAAAAAATAAAGAAATGCTTAAATTACTTAACTGGCCAACAGAGCAAAGCAACCCCGTGACATCACACGCTGTGGTATAGAAGCAGAGCGCATTTAGGCCACGCCCACAGCGGGGGGACAATAGAGTGTCATATTACTCTGAGAACTACGCCCACTGGAGGGAAACGTAATCGTGGTTTTCAGATTATGACGCGTGTCGCTCTGTCTCTATAGAGACTGAGCACATTTAGGCCACGCTTACACCGGGGGGACAAACTATTTACTAGGGACATGCATTTACATTGCTTAATGAACATCTATTTTGACAAATTATATTTTTCTCCCATTCGAAAATGAATCTCACATTTATGTGAAGCATGAGGGATTTATATGTCACTCCCGAAACGTTGCTGGCCGTAGGAGCACGAAAAACAAAACTTTTATTCAAAATCTGAACGGATTATATTTAGCCTAGGCAAATAGCCCTTCCTTTATAATCACTTAAAGGGGTCATATGATGCGATTTCAATTTTTCCTTTCTCTTTTGAGCGTTACAAGCTCTTGGTGCTAAAAGGTACAGAAATTGAAATCTACACACACACACTATACTCATAGTCACCAATGCTGATATTGGTAACATTAATAATCTGAGAATAAAGTATAACAATAATTATAATTTGCACGGTTTGATGTGATATGAGCTAATCGATCGTTAGATTAAATCACCATTGGTAGCACAATTTATTGTAATGCTTTTTTCCTCAGTTGGTCAGAACAAACGTGGCAGACTTGTTACTTACTTGTTCAGATGACAATATACGGTGAAAATTCTTATGAGTTGGAAAATGAGCCTATTTTCAAAAATAGTGGCGTGTTCCTTTAAGTTCAACTAATTGCATTTTATATCAATTTAAACTACGGTACATTTAATTGTTACATTCAGTTCCCACTTAAATATATTATTTTAAAGTATATTATTTTCATAGTAAGCACTCTTTTTAAAAGTATGTCAAATTATATTTTTCTTATTTGAATGTTTTAATTTATCAATATTTGGCTTCTTCTTCTAACTAGTTTTAAACTTCACTTGTTCAAAACCTGTGCATGATGTTTCATGTCACATGACTTCCTGCAAATGCATCTCAAAGCAGTCATTTCATGCCTTTTAATTTTTCTCTATAAAGTGCATACAGCATTCAGTCAGTACATGTGGAGGCAATTTGTGCTGTTAGCACTTTGCCATCATATTACTTAATTTAAGTGGCTTTCATACAGTGGCTAAAATGGACAAAGACTGCATGTATGGTTTCCATTTACTTTTCTTTTGCCCATGGATTTACCTGAAAGAGAAAAATTTCACATTTTGTGCTACTTTTGAGAGTTTGATTAAATGAATAATGCATTATTAGTCTGCATTAAGGAGCGCACAACATATGAAATTGAATTGGAATCAAATGTTGAGTCTTGTTCAATTTGTACACCATTAATATTGATTTTTTTTTTTTTTTAGACCAAAGCTGGACAGTTTTTCAGCAGTGGCCACACCAACAACTGGGCAGTCCTGGTAAGTTTTAATTTTGAGAATTTATAAGAATTTATAATGAATACAAATCCTAAACATGTATTTTTGTTACTAAAACGTAACAAGACAACAACATATGATAAGCAAATCATTTTCAAATGCTCAACATGGTAAACTAGATTTATCCTGTGACAACATATCGGCCTAGAAAATCGCAACTTTTCATTTTCCGTCTGTCTTAGTACACGATGTAACTACAGAAGAGTCAAGTTTTAAATAGGAAAAATATCGAAACTCTTTGGTCATTTTTGAGCGAGATGCTAATGGTCTAATCAGATTCAATGATCTATGCTAAGCTACAGCTAAAAGTGCTACCGCCAGACCCGGAGATAAGCTTAATGGATTCGAAAACGGTAAAACTCAACTGTTTAACTCTAGGGGAGTTGGAAAATGAGCCTATTTTCAAAAATAGTGGCGTGTTCCTTTAAGTTCAACTAATTGCATTTTATATCAATTTAAACTACGGTACATTTAATTGTTACATTCAGTTCCCACTTAAATATATTATTTTAAAGTATATTATTTTCATAGTAAGCACTCTTTTTAAAAGTATGTCAAATTATATTTTTCTTATTTGAATGTTTTAATTTATCAATATTTGGCTTCTTCTTCTAACTAGTTTTAAACTCCACTGGTTCAAAACCTGTGCATGATGTTTCATGTCACATGACTTCCTGCAAATGCATCTCAAAGCAGTCATTTCATGCCTTTTAATTTTTCTCTATAAAGTGCATACAGCATTCAGTCAGTACATGTGGAGGCAATTTGTGCTGTTAGCACTTTGCCATCATATTACTTAATTTAAGTGGCTTTCATACAGTGGCTAAAATGGACAAAGACTGCATGTATGGTTTCCATTTACTTTTCTTTTGCCCATGGATTTACCTGAAAGAGAAAAATTTCACATTTTGTGCTACTTTTGAGAGTTTGATTAAATTAATAATGCATTATTAGTCTGCATTAAGGAGCGCACAACATATGAAATTGAATTGGAATCAAATGTTGAGTCTTGTTCAATTTGTACACCATTAATATTGATTTTTTATTTTTTTTAGACCAAAGCTGGACAGTTTTTCAGCAGTGGCCACACCAACAACTGGGCAGTCCTGGTAAGTTTTAATTTTGAGAATTTATAAGAATTTATAATGAATACAAATCCTAAACATGTATTTTTGTTACTAAAACGTAACAAGACAACAACATATGATAAGCAAATCATTTTCAAATGCTCAACATGGTAAACTAGATTTATCCTGTGACAACGTAGAAGACATTTTATATAGCAGTAGTTCTGAACCTTTTTGACTTCAAGAACCCCCGATGCCCACAACAATATTCAAACACCTCATCCAAGTTATTTGTGATTTAAGATACAGACCTTTTATTTTAAGAATATTTTATTCATTATTTTAGAGCTTGGCATAACTAGTAAGAAGTATATATTTATAAAATGTATAAAATGCCCATGGAGTTTACATGAATTTATATGCTCATAATTTACATGATGATTTTTCCAGGTTTAGAAATCACAATTTTAAAATCAGACTTTGTTTTTTAAACAGTGGTATAGTTTTCTTCAAAGGAAAAAAAAATAGGTGGATGAGTCCCCCTTAGAAGTTTGCTGGGGCCCCCTAGTGGGCCCCGACCCACTGTTTATGAACCACTGTATTATAGTCAGTATTGTTATTGTTAATTAAAACTATATTTAAAATAGTTTTTGATCATTAAAATAAAGCTGAATAAAATATACATATAAATACATATTATATTACATATAAATACACTTAAACTTAAAGTTGAAGTTATAAAATTACTACTACTATTACTAAACTAAAAGTAAAATAAAAATATATTAAATCTAAATAGGAGAAGAAGCAAGACAACAAATACATTTGGTTAATGCTGTTTAACCATTGTTTTAGGCTGCTGTTATAGGTTTTGTAAAAATCTTGGTTAAAGTTAACACAGGGATTTATTGCCGGTTAGCATTAATGTAATTAAGGGTACATATAGATAAATTGTACTAGCATATAATAGCAATAATAGAAAAGAAGAAGAAGAAAAGCTAATTTAGACGCATTACATGATTTTATAATGTTTTTTGAATTTCAGCTTGCCAACATGTTTTCTTAATTGCTGCTTTTTGCCATGTTTTTTGGAGTTTATAATCGTGTTTATGTCTAGGTCTGCACGTCTAGATTCTGGTTTAATTATCGGCATGTGGCGAACACGCTGTCGGTATACAGAAGTGTAAAGAGACTGGGCATTCCAGACAGGTAAACTTACTCATTTGCTTCAATTATGCTCTAAAGCATCTTCTCAAGACACATTTAAAAAACAGTGGCCTGTTGAACGACAATATAATTGGACCAATCTATTGTATATCAACTATTTTTGCCTCCTGGCATCCTCATTACACAGTGACACATTATTTAAATGTGGAGAAAAATTGAGAAAATATCTGTTTTCTCCAGAGATAGCTGCATGTGTGCTCTTTTGTCACACCGAGTCAGTGATGGTTGTGTTCCTGTCTGCTCTGATTAGATGTGTTTGCTCTGCTTTCCCAGTCACATTGTGCTGATGCTAGCCGATGATATGGCCTGTAACTATAGAAACCCCAAACCAGCCACTGTGTTCAGTCATAAGAATATGGAGCTGAATGTGTATGGAGATGACGTGGAGGTGGATTACCGCGGATATGAGGTGAAGTTGCTTTTGGTTTTAAACTAACTTGTTCTGTTTCAGCACAAGAAAATGAACACTTCAAAGAGAAAGGAAAACTTGAAATCGCATCATATGACCCCTTTAATGAAAATATTTCTAAGCGAAGTCAAAGCAGAATCGACTATTGCTCGTCTCTGAGCAGCACACAATAGTGATGTTTCCTGAATGATTGGTGTTTTTATTTTTTATTTTTTAAGAACCAATTACTCACTTTTAAGGACAGTCATTTTTGAGATGCCATCTTTTTGTGGCAGGCCTTATTTTAAAAGCATTTCTTTTTGTTTTACAGGTCACAGTTGAGAATTTTCTGCGAGTCCTGACAGGGCGTCTCCCCCCCAGCACCCCTCGATCCAAACGTCTGCTTTCCGACGACCGCAGCAACATTCTCATCTACCTGACAGGTCAGACCGGTAACAGACTCATTACTGGCTTTTGCATTTCTTCTTTTTTTTCTGAATCTGTGTGTCTTTGTTTTTACAGGTCACGGTGGAAACGGCTTCCTGAAGTTCCAGGACTCTGAAGAGATCAGCAACATGGAGCTGGCTGATGCTTTTGAGCAGATGTGGCAAAAGAGAAGGTAATTATTGAAAGAGATGCAGTGGACACACAGTAACTGTAGCATCTTGATTTATCACATATGATTGATTTATGACATATTGATTTATGTCATTGATTTATGACGATCTCAATCTTGTGGTGAAAGATCTGTCCTGGTAAATGAATGGTTACAGGTTTGAATCCCACACCCTATTCATGGATATCACTGTTATACCCTTGACCGAGCCACTTAACTTTGGGTTGTTACAGAGAGACTGCCACTATAACAAGTGTACTGTAAGATGATTTGGATGAAAATGTGTTATTATTATCACTAAATAATATTATTTATATATTATTATGGTTTTTAAAATTAAATTAATACTACTACTACTACTACTACTACTACTACTACTACTACTAATAATAATAATAATAATTATTATTATTATTATTATTATTATTGTTGTGTAGTCATTTATGGTTTCCATAAAGACAACAGTGTGAATGTGGCCTGAGACAGTTGAAGTGGATATTTATTTATTTATTTAGTTTGTTTTTAAAAAAATATACAGGATCTAGGCTGAATTTGCCCCTATATCCTCGTGCACTGTAAGTTCATCCCTGATTTATTGAAGAATAAAACAACGACTATCTTTATTAGCACTCAACAGATTCATACAAAATCAGATTCATTTAGTAACGGCTTGGTTTCTTTGAAACTTTTTTCCTTGGAGGAGGAAAAATAAAAGTACTTAAGTTACTCAGTATAAATGTTCATTGAATGCTTGTTCAACCGTTGAATAAAAGCAATGTCACACTTCCAGTCGTATCAGCAAATGTATTCATTCAGCTTAATAATTGTGTACTTACTGCAGAGAGCAAATAGCAGAAATTGACCAAAACAAATTCCAAAACGCACATTAAATGACATCAAAGCACAACATAAAATATGCAGTCTAGCCTTCATTGTGTGGCTCCTGGACACAGTGTTGATGTACATGGATGAAGCGCTGCAGCTGCCTAACGTACTAATTGTGTGTTATAAATGATCTAATAGTCTGTTTAGGTTCCAGCGCAGTGTAAATATTGTGGGAGGCTAGAGTGAGGTGCAATGAGAGCTTCCTCTCTTCCTGTAGAGGACTACAGCACAGGATGTTTTGTGCCTGTCAATGTGGTAATTGCAGGCTTGATCCAATAACTTAGTAAAGCCCCTTTTGTGCTTCATTGCTCCCCCATTACATCTTAGGTTCATGCGATATCAAGCCTTCTCATTCTCTCTCTCGCTAGTCAGAGATGGCCAGAATGGGTTTCTAATTTTTATTATATATTTCATTTTGTGAATGGAGCATTAATGGATGCTGGGTTCTTGGTTACCGTGGCAACGACTTGCAGTGAGTGCTGTGTTGGTTGTATAGTGAACGTGGCTCAGACAGCCTTGATCCCTGTGCTGCAGGTCAGATCTGGCTATTATTACTTCACAACCGGCTTTAATTATAAATGACATTAAATTGCAATGTTATAAAAAGGAAAGTAATTTAAAACTGACAAGAATCAACCGGCTCTAAAACGGCCTCCTTTCTTTGCAGGTACAACGAGTTGTTGTTCATCATAGACACGTGCCAGGGGGCCTCCATGTATGAGAGGTTTTACTCGCCCAACCTCATGGCCCTGGCCAGCAGTCAAGTGGGAGAGGACTCGCTCTCAGTGAGTCAAACCTTCTGCTCTTGATCTTCTGCACTCCTGACAATTAACATTAGTTGTAGCTGTTGGATATTATTACAATTCTGCAGAACCTTTGAAAATCATTGACATAAAAATCATAGACAACAAGGTTTTTGGAGCTTAAATGGATGGGAAATCAGGATGATTTGGGACATGATGAGGTCTGGGATCAAACCAAACGAGCATCAAGGATAGGTGTGTTCCTGGAACGTGTGCTAACTGCTTTGATTAATTAATCAGCTTTATAAATTCATGCCGACCAAATTTAATATATGGCTTATGGATCATTACAGTAAGATATTTCAGATTTTTTAAAAAGAAATTAATACTTTTTTTTTAGCAAGCATGCATTAAATTAATAAAAAGTGACAGTAAAGACATTTATAATGTAACGAAATAATTTTATTTCAAATAAATCCAGTTCTTCTGAATATTCAAATGTCCAAATCAGCATATTATAATTAGGATTAGAATGATTTCGGATGGATCATGTGACACTGGAGACTGGAAGATATCACATTTAAAGTAAATGAGAATACTTATTTCAAATTGTATTAATATTTCACAATATTACAGTTTTTACTGTATTTTTGATCAAATATATGCAGTCCTTCAAAAACAAAACAAAACAAAAAATCTTGCCGACTTCAAACTTTTGAACGTAAGTGTATCTAAAATGTTTAATCTGAGCAGCCACGTGAGCATTGTTAATCTTGTTAATGAAATTATTTATGAAAAATTATTCTGAATGGTTTGTTACTATTTTGTCTAGTGTAATAAAGATGAGGCAGAACAATATGTACAGTATCATGGCTATAATTTTCATTAAAACATACTGTTTTTTTTTTTTACAAGGACATATTTATATGTTTAATATACGCTTTAATAAATGTTTACAAATTTTTTAAATATTTCAAAATTTGATAAAATATGTGAAAAAGAATAACATTTGACAAGATAAAATTTATAGAAATAATAATGTGATTAATAAAATATGACGAAATATGGGATACATTTAAAGGATTTTTTGTCAAAAGACAAAGTGTAAATAAACCTCTGTTAATACTTTTTAGTGCAAAAAAAATTGATTGCAAACATTTTTTATCGTTTTATCTAGTCACATTGGACTTGGTGTGAACAGGCTACAATACACTAAACTAGACTAGACTCTACATCTGTACACCATGACTCCGTAGAAAGCCCTGAACATTTATAGTTAATACAGATTTTAAATTATTAGGAGAGTATAGAAGATTGGAATTGGTTCACCTGTATTGTTTTGTCCATACAGCATCAGCCAGACTTGGCAATAGGGGTCCATTTGATGGACAAGTACACCTTCTACTTACTGGAGTTCCTGGAGGAAGTCCACCCCGCTAGCCAAGCCAACATGAACGATCTGGTAAGTGTGTGTGTGTGTTTGTTTGGTGCCTGTTTATAATTCCAGACAAATGATAAGGAGAATGCTTTATCCACTGGGACGAACTGAACTTAAAAAGCGTCCGTCACAAAGACGTCCTGTCGCCTCAGATGAAAAGAATGGCCTTGTGGACCACAGGTCTCTTAGCACGCCACTTTAAACAGAGTGGCTAATACATGTGTAGGTCAGACAGCTTTGAAACAGTCAGGAGAGAGACCTTTTCTCTGAAGGCCTGGGTGAGCTTGAGTTTCTCTTCCATTCATCTGTGGTTGGAGTCCCACCAACTCCCACAATCCATTTTGATCTCTCCTGCCCTCCACATCCTCTCTGCTTGGCACGGTGCTTCCCTGATCAAACCGGTCCAACAACAGCCTCTTTTTTGGTGCTTTTTTGTTCCCCGTGCTCTTCTCTCGCTCTCTCTCCATTCTGCTGGATTAGCAACGATATTATTGATTTCCCGTGGGAGAAAGAGAGAGGTTTTAATGTTGATGGAAAAGGGCCACTTGAACCCTCATGAATGATCTCTCGCATGAATGATCTCTCTTTCACTGTCATCAGAAGGTTTGCGGAATTTCTTTCTGGATTTCACTGTGCACTGGGAGTTGTGCTAGGAAATAATGCTCTTCTATCGCCAAAGGTTCCTTTAACTTAATTCTGAAATTGCATCAAGTACGCTCTTAAAATTGGCCTCTGAACTGGATGTTCAGTAAATGTTGTTTAGAAGCCAGGTCAAGGTTGGTTTGTTGTCATTCCAGCTATAAATACATATATATTTCTGTTCAAAAGTTTGGGGTCAGTAAGATTTTTAATTTTTTGTTTGTTTTTATTTGTTGTTGTTTTGAAAGAAATCAGTACTTTTATTCAGTAAGAATGAATGAATAACATTCACCAAAGTGACAGTAAAGACTTTTACGTTGTTGCAAAAAATGTCTATTTCAAATAGATATTCTTTTGAACTTCCTTTATCCTCAAAAATTGTCATGACAACTGTTTTCAACATTGATAATAATAAGAAATGTTTTATATATATATACATATACATACATACATGCATATATATATATATATATATATATATATA